CAAATATATAGACTAAATTTGTTGGAACTAACCTGAAAAAATAAATAAAGTCAATTAAAATATAAAACCGGAGATGAAGTTCTCCTTTTTTTTTAAATTTAATTGGTGCATTTATAGAAATCACTCCAGACACAATCCATGCCTACAATCATGATGTATTCTGTGGAAATTGTGCTCACAGTAAGAATATAAAGTATCCATCCTCTAAACATCCTGTCCGGTAGTTTTCAGTCGTACCAAATCCTCATTTTGTTTTTTTTTTTCTTTCTGCAGTCGTTGTTGGACGAGCCGAACCCCAACAGCCCAGCGAACAGTCAGGCCGCGCAGCTCTACCAGGAAAACAAGAGGGAGTATGAAAAAAGAGTGACGGCCATCGTGGAGCAGAGCTGGGTGGACAGCTGAGCTTCTTTCTCTTCCTGTTCTCTTCATCACCCCTGTTCTATTCAAGCTTTCTTCTTTTTACCTCATAAAGATGAAAACAGCGACTATATCAAAACTCAAGTGCCACCCTAAAAAGTCAAAACAAAAGAAAAACCAAACATGAATGGACATTAACTTGCTTGCCAATGCATTTTAGGAATTTTGGGGGGTATTCAAGCTTATCTTTGTGTTTTTATCTTTTTATTTTCCTTTTTTTATTGCATGGTGTGAGGTAAGTTATTGCTAACAAAATTTGTAATATATCTTTGTTTGACTGAAATTGCTAATGCTTGAGTTTTACAAACTTTTTTTTCGGTTTCTTTAATTTTCTGCACACAACTTGGTTGATTTGAGAAAGATAAAAAAAACTAATTTGTTACATTTTAAAAGCCTTTCAAAGCTTTATTATTTTTCCTCCTGTCAACCACAAATCTAAGCTGATGAGGAACAATCTCTGCTCTGTTCCAGGATCTGTTTTTTAGGACACACTGTAGGTTTGGACTCATTCATCACAGGCTGCAGCAGCAGCACGGATGAATCATGTTGGAGTTTTTATTAGAAGGTAGTGGATAGTGTTGAGATATTATAGAGGAAGTCAATGGGTGAACTGGGAATMCTCGAGTTGTCGTTTCGTTTTAAAATCAAAGAGTCTGGAGCCTAATTATGGTTCAAGAACTAAACTTGGCTGGATGCAGTGTGTCCATTTTTATCACTCACTGACTCTGATTATTCAACTGAAGCAGGTTAAAACGAGGTGGATTTGGAAACGAGCAGATCTGTTCATTCTTGCATGCTTTTCTAACCTCAAACTAATTCTGAGACCTGTGCCATTTTACACCTGAAAGACCCAATTTTTAAAACAAGTCAACTAAACAGTGAATGGGAAAAGCTGAAACAGCATCAAGATTGTTTTCCTGAAGGCTCAAGTTGTTTTCTTTTTGCCTGCATTTTTTTTATTCTTCTTGATGCCCAATAAACGTCCACTTGAGAATAACTTCATGACCTAACTCTACCCAGTTTATGCTTAATAATCAGTCMTCATGAGGCAAAAGTCTTTTCCTAAGGCTCATATTGTGGCTTGTGACTTCTTTCACCCTAGTAACCAGAAGGGATGTTATCAGATTTTGAGAATCAAATGTATACTAAAAAATAATATGCTGTATAAACATAATAAAACACATTTTTCAGACTTTGATAAGTGTGTTGCTTGTAGTTTCTTTATGCTTTTTAACAAATTTTCAATTCAAGCATCACTAAAAGCTCAAACCATGTTTAAGAAATCCTTTTAATTCAGTTTAAATCGTACATTTAAATATGACTTCTTTTACAGTTCAACATTTATACATAAAAAGTGGCCTAAAATTGATGACTATTAAAAAAAAAAGTAAAAGTTGCACAAATGCTTAAAAAATCTAGAAAAGTTGTTTTAAATAGTAAAAAATGTGGTTTAGGTTGATCATTCAAAATGTTTCATCYGGTCAACGACCCTGTGGAGGAGCAGAACAACACGTTAGGACTTTTTTCTGTCAGKAAGTCAACATGTTTGTTTCCACAGTGTACCTGCTGACTCTTCATAATTTCATCTCGTGTCTTAAAAACTGGCGCGTCCTCCACCTCGATGCCCTCCGCCATTTCCTTTACCTTCTCTAGAAGCTCGGAGCTGTACCTGAAACCAGCAAAGTTTATACTGGACAGAACCAGACGATGAAATCACCAGTGTGCATTGTTTATGAACGTACCGACAGCCCATGAAGACGTTGTTGGCCCACACCATGGACAGAGACAGCAGCTGGTCCAGCTGCTCCAGCTTAAAGTCGCTGATGTTCCGCAGGAGGAACTCCCTCCGGGCGTTCCAGTGTTTCTCACTTTCCCAGTAACCCCGGAACGTCTCCACCTGCTTGGCTAAAGCTCTGTTTTGTTGAATAAAATCCTCCACGTCTGTCGCAGCCATGGTTCTGGTCCGATCGAGACAATATCCGGATACGTCATCACTGCGCGCCAAGTAGATTTTTCTTTTTCAACAGCGACGCCAAGCGGTGGGGGTGCGAAATGACAAGTCGGCCAATTCACTTGTAAAGGATTTTTGTGTTGAATAAAGAAAACATATTTAGTTTTTAATCACACCTTGTTTCTTTCAAACTTTCTATTAATTTATCTATTTAATTTTGTCTTWCAGAAAGTAGCTCTAACTTTGAAACCAGTTTAAAAACAAACTTAAAATCAGTGTTGCATAAAGTACCTCAAAGTGATACTTGAGTAAAAGTACAAGTATCTTATCATAAAAAATACTTTGGTAAAAG